GACAGTAAGCACATCGTTACTATACAGCCTACAAGCACACACACACACACACACCCACGCTCACACTAGGACAGTTGGGAGAAGAAAATGGCACAGAATATTAAGCAGCCACCAAGTAAGTCAGGAAAACAGTCACCCCGGAGGATCTGGGAAGCGACAGACAGCCCTAATACCACACGGAGCTTGGCATTTAGGGAAGAAGCAGTCAAAGGGACATATCGGCCCAGAGCACTTCACAAATAAATTTTACTACAGGCTATTAAGCAAATACTGTGTGTTCTTCAGAAAAGCTGAGCCTAGAGAAGGCGACACGTGGGGATGGGCAGGCTGTTTACAAGGGAGAAGGCTGCAAGGCTCCCCATTGGGGCCATCTCAGGCAGGAGGTCTCTCTCTCAGCGGGCATGTTGCTAACCCCCTTTCTGCACAAGAGGGCCACTCAAGTCCCTGTTTCTCCATCAGTCCTCTGACTCATGTGGAGGGCTGGACCACCAGCCCTCAAGTCCAGCTCATGCTCAGAAAAGCAGATGGCATGTACATGTTCACTCGAGATAGTGACTGGCCATTTAGAAACAGCGGTCAGCAGTGATGGTGCTCCTGAGCCAGCAGAATATGCTCACTGCAAAAGTTCCTCTTCTTTCTAGGCGTTCATAGGCCATCTCTCCTCCTATAAACTCTTAGGAGTAGGAGGATTTTTATTTATTTTTCAGAAGCAAATCACTCTATTCCCAGGGCCAAAGTCATCTAACTTGTAGCAGGGAAGGGAAAATGAACAGTGTACAAGGTCCCGTTGCTCTAAGGTCCCAGACTTAGGTCTTTTGGGCTCCAGGTCCTGCACTTTCCTACTGGAGGCCCCAATGTGATGACCCCTCCTTCTCTGGCGTTGTACTGGCCCCAGTCTGATGCTGCCTCCTTCTCTGGCCTTGTACTGACCCCAGTGTGATGCCTCCTCCTTCTCTGGCCTTGTACTGGCCCCAGTGCGATGCTCCCACCTTCTCTGGCCTTGTACTGGCTCCCGTGTGGATGTTCCTGCCCAAAGGTCCCATCTGGGACTTATCATAGACTTACAGCCTCAAACTTGGAAAACATGAAGTGGATCACGTTTGAGAGTGAGGCCCAAGGGAGGCGATTCTGTTGCCTTTTGTGGCTTTCAACCAGAATCAAGGCATGGCAAAGGAGCAACTCCCCCGTCCTGGGGCTGACTGTGGCTTACACAGAGATAATGGACACCACCAGGGATTCCCCTTTCCTCCCCTGAAATTCCACAGCACTTGGGGTGGGGGAGGGCTGGGAATGCAAGATGTTTTGCCAGGGGAGAGAAAAGCCATGGGGGCAGTGAGGAATGCAGGAAAGCATTTTCCTCCCACATTGCCTCTTCTGGAGCATGGGCTGGGACAACATTGGAGGCATCTTTCCATTTTAACACTTAGAACTTCAGCTCCGGAAAAATAATCATCAAGATAAAAACCCTTCAGTTTTACACAGGATAACCTTAGTCTCCTACTAGGTCCACTTGCAGATTAGCATGAGTCAGTGAAGGGTCCCCTAATCCCCACACCTAGTTTTTGGTTAGCTGATGCCAATAAATTCTACAAGGGCTGTTTTGGAAGGTAGAAAAGTGAAGGATTAAAACACTGAGGTGGCTCAAGAGATTATGCTGTATCAAGAGTCATCTGCTTGTTTCAGAGATGGGAAAAACTGCACCTGGGAGAAGTAAGACGCCTCGTCTGGCCACAGAAGCCCAGCCCCTGGCTCTCTCTCCCCGCTCCACCCCAGGACACCACGGGGAATGACCTTGGGAGGGTTTGTGAAGTCATGCTTTCTGTGACTCTCTATTCACGAAGGATTTAGGCCTAGGATCACAGAGCCATCTGTCTTGTAGAAAACCATCCCTTCTTCCACAACTCCCCCACCCAAATTTGTGATTTCGCTAATTAGGTTCAACAATGCGCACATTTCTAAATTTCCCTGTGGATGCGAGTGTTAGCAGCACCTAACCAATTGAGAAGAACTGGATGATTCTTCAGGCCAGAGGGGAACACTGCTGGGACAGGCCCTGACAAGGAAGAGAAGGATGTGGCTCTCGGAACACCATTTAAGTCCAGATGTGAGTTCTCTCTCTCTCTTCCCCTATCCCTCCCTCTCACTTTCCCTCTCTCTTACTCCTACCCACTCTGAACCTGTCACTGTGGCAAGCACAGCTGGTGGAGTATTTTAGCTGTGATGATGTCAGCTAATTTATGATAGGCTCCTCGGTAAAGTGACAAATCATTGGCTGTGTTGGGGCCTTGAGCTTATGTTTTCATGACATGAATCCCAAGCCACCTCTTCAGCAGACCTCAGCCCTCTCACCTGTCTTTGCAGAAGCCCTCACCTTGGCCGTCAGCAGACAGACTGTGTTCTGCCTCCGGGAAAGAGAGAACAGACCTCTGGCTGCACAAGGAAGCCAAACTCTGTATCATCGAAGCGTTCACTTTGCAAAGTTCTGAGTAGAGGTAAACACATCCAGAGACTTCCTCTCCAAGAACTAAAAGGGCTGTGGAGCTCTCAGAGCCTGGCAGCGGTGGTGGTCAGGCACCAGCAGCATTTCAAAATGAAACCTCTTTCCCTACCTGCTCTATTCACAGTACTATTTTAAGGATTTGCATTATCTTGCAAAACACAATTACCCTCTGCTCCTGTTTATTTCCACGCTTCATTTGGGGACAGTGAAGAGTCCACTTTGCTCAAGGTGATTAACTTTCCCTCTACTAGGACTCACCCTGGTTTCACACAGGAAGTGAGCGGCAACCAGAGATGGGTAGTGAGCTCTAAATAACAATGTCATTTAAAAAAAATTATATTTGCTCTTTTTTTAAAAAAAAAATTAGAATTGTTGAGAAATCTTTCTTGGGCCTTACCAGACACTATAAAACTACAGTAATGTATCACAATAAACTAAGTACAGGCAGTCCTCGAGTTACAAACATCCCACTTAGTTACAACTTGCACAGGAACAGAGGGTATTACCTGTTCAAACTTATATATAAATTCCACTTAAGAACAAATCTACAGGCTCGGCGCCTGTGGCTCAAGTGGCTAAGGCGCCAGCCACATACACCTAAGGTGGCGGGTTCGAATCCAGCCCAGGCCGCCAAACAACAATGATGGCTGCAACCAAAAAAATAGCCGGGCGTTGTGGTGGGTGCCTGTGGTCCCAGCTACTTGGGAAGCAGAGGCAGGAGACTCGCCTGAGCCCAGGAGTTAGAGGTTGCTGTGAGCTGTGATGCCATGGCACTCTACCCAGGGGGACAGCTTGAGGCTCTGTCTCAAAAAAAAGAAAAAGAACAAACCTACAGAACCTATCGTGTTCATAACCTGAGGACTGCAGTATTCAGGGCTAAGCGTTCTCTGCAGTGCAGGCCCCTGGCTTGCACCCATCTGCAGTCACTTTCGAGCAACTCTGGGAAACACTTTAGAACACTGGCTTTGTCCCTCCTTCACTGGTCTCTTAAAAAATGCTCAAAACAATCCAAAACAGTGACTAGTTTATCTTTCTTTGCTTATTTTATTTTCTTTCAATGTCCCCAATAGCAGCTATTCCATGACTGTTTTCAACTCAAACCTGAAGCCCCCCATTCGAGTGTTTTTAAGTCCTTAATGGAAATATTTTCAGAGACAGTGGGATTCAAGGCAGGGAAGTTCTCAGCTGGGGACAAACCTGTTTGACTCCCAGCAATTTGGACAGTGATATAAAAGGGCTGTGGGATAAATGTGTACAAGTGATCTAAGAGCCTCAAAAAGGATGGAGGAGCCAGGGGTAACTGAGAGAGTTCACTCATACGTCCAGTTTTAACATGACTCAGCTGAATTTACTTACCAGAAGCCCAGCAGGTCACCCGGGGCAGGCTTGACTCTTCAGATTGTATTAACTATGCCTTTTATATTCTGGATTTTCTGATGCTTTGCTACTCCTGGAGAGACTGCCCCTCCTAGTATTGGCTCATTCTTAGAGATAGCAAACCACAGCACCTGGAGCCTGCCTCTCCTATCCAAACCCACCAATCCAGAGCCCTTGCCCTAATTGCCTCCTATATTGGTCTACCACCCTTGCGGCCACTATCTGCCTGCCCCAATCGCTGCAGGCCAGCTACCAGACAACTAGGGACACCCTCTCTGCTCCACAGTCTACCAAAATTATTCCCACAAGTCAACCCTAAACCTTCGTACCCTTCCATTCCTTGCCAAGCAGAGTTGTCTGCTGATCTGCTGATCTGCTGGCCTTGCCATGCTTAAATAATAAGACATGTAGATATAGATACTTTAGAGATGGGGGCTCACTATGTTGCCCAGGCTGGAGTACAGTGGCTATTCACAGGAGCAATCCCAGTACTGATCAGTACAGGAGGAGTTTTTACCTGCTTAATTTCCCACCTAGTCACCCCTCCTTAGGCAACCTGGTGGTCCCCACTCCCAGGAGGCCATCATATCGATGCCAAACTTACTGTGGACGCCTGAGCAGCATAGTGGGTTAAAGTCAGTTTAGAATTCCCGGGCTTAAGTGATCCTCCCTCCTCTGCCTCCTAGTTGGCTGGGACTATAAGCTCACACTATCACACCTGGCTAATGAGACCCGTATTTTAAAACACAGACATTGGAATGGGATGTGATGGCTTCAGCATCTAATGTCCGGACCCAGCCAGTATCCTGTCTTTTCCTGGGACGAAAAAGCTCAGAATGACTGCTGTAAGAGCCTGAGCAGAATTGGGTTCCTCTTCCTGACCACACAAACACAAAAATAACAAGAGTTGTGACTTTCACAACTGTCCCACTCTGGATGCACAGAGGTTAGTTCATTACTGACATGGGAAGCAGGGCTTACTATTCTTAGAGAACAATCCCAACAGGTTAAGTCTAAGGTCTAGGTAAAAATGAGAACCTTTCCTCCTGCCTCACAGAAGCCATCCATCCCACCAGCACTTTGGTGAAGCGTCCCCTACCTGTGCGACCCAGGCCAACGTTACCTGTGCTCGGTGCTCCCCCACTGCGAACTGTATCACGGCCACGCCAGGGCTGTGGCTGTCCTCGATCCTCTCCACAGTGCTGGAGTCAATCTTCAGGTCGTTGCTGATCTCCGCACTCTGGATGAAGTCTTCTGTCTTGAGGTCTTCCACCTTCTTCAGCTCCCCGTTGGCCAGCTGGATGATGGAGCCTTTCATGAAGTAAGGGGGCAGTGTCGGGGCAGGTGTCGCAGGAGATGCCACCGACTGCACCACGGGCAGGTGGATCTGGGCCTGCACCATGGCCGGGTAGGCGGCCTGGGTGCCCAGGGCCTCGGGGCTGAAGTTCTCGCTCTTGGGGAGGGCGGTGGTGACGAAGGTGTGAGGCACTGCAGCAAACTGAGGGGACGACGTGACGATGGCAGGGGCTGCCCCGGACGCTTCCACGTCAGCACTGCCCACCGGAATGAGCAGGGGCTGTGTGCCGGGGATCACCAGGTGCTGTGGCAGGCTGCCGGCGTAGGTGATTGCTTGCTGCTGGCCACTCAGGTAGCCGATGACAGAGGGCTGAGTCCCCGCGTAGAAGGCTGTGGCTGGCAGTCCCACCGGGAGTGGCTCTGAGGCGCTGTGCGTGGTCTGGATGACCGTGTGTGGCGACAGCGCATACGACCGGTGGCCGGGCTTGCCCAAGTGCAGGCTGCTTTTGTCGTTGAGGGTGGAGGGGGAGGCCTCCCGGTGGGCGGCCTGCTGCACCTCCAGGTCGCCGGCAGGCGTGTTGCTGTTGGGCAGGACCATCACCGAGGCCCGCACCCCCGACGGATCGCGGCTGCTGTAGTCCGCGGGGCTCGGGTGGACCACCACGTGCCGGGAATCGTACGGGTGAGCGACCGACTTGCTGCCTGCCTTGCCCAGGCCCAGGTCGGCCGAGGACGGAGCCCCGTACCGCCGGCTTTTCTCCATCTCGCCGTTGAGGACCTCCTTGGCCTGGACGGCCTGCTGCAGCCTGCTGCTCTCAGCCTTCTTGGTGGACTCCCGAGGGACGAAGTGGCTGCCGGAGTCAGTGTATTGCACGACGACCTGGGAGGAGGGCCCCAGGGTGAGCGTGTGTGGGATCATCGTCTGGTGGGGGTGGAGGTGGACGGGGATGGCCGGAGGAGAGGCGGTGCGCCCGGCGCTCTGCGGAGAGCTGGAAATGTGGACGTACTGGTTCTGCTGGGTGGGTGGGGGAGACCCAGGGGTGATGAGCCCCGGAGCCCTGCCGAGGTGCTGCGGCGGCGGCGGCTCAATTTTGTGTCCTGGTGCCTGGCTCAGGCCGCCCATGTTGGCTAGCAGAGTGGAATAGGCCTCCAGCTGGGAGCGCTGGGATGGAGTGGTGGCGCCCACGGCGGAGGCCACCGAACTGGTGACGGGGTTGGCCGTCGGGGAGATCAGCTGTGACGGGATGAAGCCGGCATAGGGCCCGCTGTACTGGGAGGACCCAATGAACTGGAAGGTGTGCGGCAGGTGAGTGTACTGTACGGGGGACACCGGAGTCCCTGTCTGCGGGGGAGGGTACGCCGTGGGCAGCGTGGTGGCTGCGGGGACAGACCTGGGAGCGCTGGGCGGGGAGTAGTCCAGCCCCGTGGACAATGCTTTGTGTAAACCTATTCCCTGTTGTAAACCAAGCTCCGCCGAGGTCCCCGCCGGCCCGTGCCGCCCTCCCCCATGGCCCCGGCCACCAGGGTTTCCTGGGAGCCATGCTGCGCCCTCCGCCCGGTGGTTGTCGCTGGGCAGGGCAGGGGCCTTCTCCTCGGAGGAGCGGCTGGTGGCGGGGATCTCGCGCTTCTTGGGAGGCAGGCATTCGTTGCTCCGCTCTTGGTTGGATTTCATTTTTCGCCGTCCCCCCTCCACGGTGACTGTTTCACTGTCTGGCTGGCTCTGATTTTAGTCTGATAAATGGAAAGTCACATTTGATTTCTGTAGGGGATCCAGGCTCTTCATGAGGAATCATCTCCCCGTGGGTACAATCCGCCAACAGCAGCTCTGGATTCTGGGAAAAAGAAGAGGGCGGGGGCAAAGGGAAGAGGAAAGGGGAGGAGGGAAAGGAAATCAAAATATCAGCACCGGGAAAATGCACCCTTGGCAAGATTAAGACTAGGCCTTGGATTCTATGTGGAATCCGAAACCCAATTATAGCCTTACATTGCAGCAGTTAAAACACTAGCCATGGAGTTGGCACATCGTGAAGGAAGGCTGTTATGACAGTGAGCACGGGTTAAAACTTTAACAGCATATACTTTTTATGGCATTAACAGCTCCCCTGAGGCACTCACAATACCCTGGTCTCTCCTCCCCTCCTCCCCCCAGCCATTTTATTAGACCACAGATAATCCATTTCTTAATTTTTCTTTTCAGACATGCTGGTTCTCTTCCTCTTATTTTCTTTCATCTGGCTGCAAAAGCAAGTGAAGCCCATAGGTGGAGTGGGAGACGATGCCAGCTGGACTATGCCCTCAGCGCCAGGCACTGAGAAGTTAGGAGCTGAAGTCCTTCGCATCCTTGTATGTTATTTCTGAATCCTCATATGCCAGAGACACTACTCTCAAGGGTTCCACCTGGCTCTGGGTTTATACTGAATTTATAATGATTCCCTGTTCCTTAATACACACACACACACACACACACACAGTTTCAATTCCATGGAGGCAGCCAAAAATAATCCTGTTCTCAACAAGTTTCCCAAGAATTCCCAGTACAGTCACTCATATGGTTACAGAATGAGACAGTTAAAAAATGAATTAGATTATGGTTACAAAAACCCAAATACACTACAGTAATAGGGCCGATGCATTGAAAGTTTTCTTAGCAAGCAAGAGTAACATGCCTGCTTTGACCCCGTTGTCTTTGACTTTTCCCTTCATACCATCCCCTCCCTTTCTCCTTAGAAAGGGCCAACTTACCAGTAACACCACTTTTAGACAAATCAGACCTGTGTGTTCAAACCTGGACATACAAATAGTGATCCTGGTTCTTATGGCCAGCTATCTCAGTTTCTTCACTGAACTCCAAGTTACAACTACTGTGTGGGAAACCCAATGGCCAGCTGGCAAGGACATCAATGAATCATGCTAAGAAGCAGCAGAGAGGGTGCCCCCATAGAGATGAGCAGATGTGAGCAATGTAACGTGCTGGGATCCTGAGAGCTGTGGGATTGGGCTGTGGGGGTTCCAAGTCCTTAAGTTTTGGCATTTCTCATACTCAGACCTTCTGAATGATCAGTTATAAAACAAACACAGCATGGTGGCATGAAATGGTGAGATCTCTATTGTAACATAACCCCTCTTCTCTCCTCTACTCCCCCTAATTTATGACTTTGGGGGAGCAGGGAGAAAAATGATTTGGTTTTGCTTCAATATCATCAACGAACATCACAATGAAATGACAAATGACACAGAAGAAAGTTCTCCGTCTTTAATGATTTTGATGAGGTATATAGGAAAGTTGGACATTTAGAAATTTGGTGTCTCAACATCAAAGGACATTTCAATAAGAATAGGATTTCTTTCTTTCTTTTTCTTTTTTTTTTCTTGAGACGGAGCCTCAAACTATCCCCTTGGGTAGAGTGCCATGGCATCACAGCTCACAGCAACCTCCAACTCCTGGGCTCAAGCGAGTCTCCTGTCTCAGCTTCCCAAGTAGCTGGGACTACAGGCGCCCGCCACAACACCTGGCCATGTTTTGGTTGCACCCATCATTGTTGTTTGGCCGGCCCGGGCTGAGGATTCGAACCCGCCACCTTAGGCGTATGTGGCTGGCGCCTTAGCCGCTTGAGCCACAGGTGCTGAGCCAAGAATAGGATTTCTTATAGGACAAGAGGCTCTTAAGGACAGGCCTGGAAACAAAAAAATAAAAACAGGTAAAACATTAATGCTGAAGAAATGAAACACCAGTATCCAAGGAGTAATGGAAGGGCTTTCCTAAGTGTCAAATCAGCACATAATTTATATCCAATATTTCTGAATCAAATTAAGCTACAAAAATATCCAAAAAGTTGCCAATTTTGGCTGCCGGAAAATACTGATAATTTTCTTTTCTCTTTACATTTTGAGGGTTACTCTGAAGAAGGGGAACTAGGCCAGGCACAGTGGCTTATGCCTTTAATCCTGCCTTGAGAGGCCAAGGCAGGAGAATCACTGGAGGCCAGGAGTTCAAGGCCAGCTGATCAAGAACAAGACCTCTCTACTAAAAGTAGTAAAGGTAGTGGGGCAATGTTGCATATGCCTGTAGTCCCAGCTATTCAGAAGGCTGAGGCAGGAGAATCACTTGACCACAGAAGTTTGAGGTTGCAGTGAATTTTGTTGGAGGGCGTTGAAGGAACTATAAGAACCCCCACATTGCCATGCCAACTAGCAAGGAAAATTCACTCAGGAGTTACTCAAACAGAACTGGTCCAGGCGCCCCCTGCTGGTTCTACTGCAGCGCTGATTCAATAAAACCCCACAGGATTTCATTAGGGGTGTTCATGCAAGAGTGATATGTCAGAATCTGAAATGAGAATATTTGCATATAGTAGACCCAGCCAGTAAGGGAATAGGTTAATTAGCCCAAGGCAGCTCTAGGGAAGAAAAAGCAGCAGCATAAAAGTCCTTTCAAAGCCAACTAAAATGTCAAACACATTCAGGAAGAGGTCCATTAGCAATGCAAATGTAAAATTGCCTGTACAATTGAATGCACAATATACAAAACTAGAAAACTCCTCTAAAAGTACTTCTCAAAGAGCCCAGCTTTAGTAAATTTTAAAAAGAGTGCTGGCTTGGTTCTCAATAGTGCAGGGTCATATTATTTACTTGAGAGACACTGGCTGGTCTTCTGCTAACGAACCACTAAGACATACTGGCCTTAAACACAAATTCAAATTCATTCTTCTGAAAAGTTATCCATTGATAAACAGCATCTTTTCCAGAGATTGCTAAGCTCTGGAAAATCAAGGATACAAAGATTAACATAGAAGCTGAAGCAACCTGGGGAAAAACTGGTAAAAATTCCTCCTTCTACATTTAGAAGGACTATTTACCAGCGCAGTACAGAGGAGAAAGGACTCTCTAATTCTGGGGTATGTGTCCCTTCGCTGCGCCCCATTAGCTTTCTGTATCGTCTACATCATGGGGAAACAGGAACGTACGTTTTAGGTCTTGCTGTGTTTTCAGTGAACCACCAGAGGGCGCAAATATGCCCCGGTATTTTGGATAATTACTCATGGAATTAAAAGAACCGAGAGGTAACTTATGAAGGTGGAAAAATAGAGTAGGAAATCGAAGGAAGAGGACAAAGGGAAGAAAAAAGAATGAGATTTCTGCTTTTAGGCTCTCTTTATGTGTTCTCAATTGCTGTCTCAGGGATCCCCAAGGAGTTCACCTGGGGAAGCACCTGTCACAACAGAAAGATTTCTTTGAAACATGGGGCTGTGCATAGTAATATAAATGCGAAGCTTCCAGAGAACCACATATGCGGATCACATTATTATTACTGGAAAAAGGAAAGTGGAGGGGGAGTTAATAGATGAATCAAGACAAATTTATGGAGGTTTACCACCTATGGTTTGACTGATAATCATTGTTCTGAATATATTCCTCTTAAGCATCTTTATATCAACATTTATATCTATGTATTCTATCAGTATTTTAAAATTTAGCCCAAAGGTAGGACTTGATAGTCAAAGTCAGACCAGTAACACCACCATCCCCTGGAAGCTCCTTGGAAATGCAGACTTTTAGGCCACACCCAGACCTACTATTCAGAATCTGCATTTTAACAAGATCCTCAGATAATCTGTATACTCTGTGTACAGGTATGGAAAACTCTGGTGTAAGATTACACTTCCTATTTTTAAACTCTTTCTAAGGGAGCAGGCAGTGGGAAAGCAAACCCGGTGCTGTATGTAAACAGAGAGTTGATGGAGCCTTGAAGATAAATAGCTAATACTTAGGTTGTAGCTCAGCCGGGGTCCTCTGGGGTCATCTAAACACAATATAGCTCTAAATAACAGATGCTCCTTTTCTTCTGGTTTTTCACAAGACCATAGAGAAACATTCTTTAAAAAGGCTATTATGAATTTTATATATAACTCAAATCATCTGTAGGAGGAAAAACAAAATTTAACAAAGTAAGCTCTGCGCTTATATTTTTGCTATAATTTAGTTTCAAAAATCCTTTTGCTATTACCACAGATTCAGACGGTTTGAGAAGTGATAGGAAAATGAGATGCTTCTGTGCTGGAGATACAGGAATATATGCCCACTGACCTGAAGCCCTGTAAATAACAGCCAATGGCTCAGAATGGAAGATGCTCCTAGAATTTGATATATGAAGTCCTATGAATGCATTCCAAGGCTATGGCAATAAATTAAGTTTTTTAAACTTACATCCCCAGTCCTGTGTTTCTCAATTTGAGTGAACCCACAACTATCTGGAATGTATGTCTGTGCATAAATGGGAACACAGTGGCAGCTTTAAAGAGGAGGAAAATTAGACTGATGAGTTTGTTCCAGGACTGGAAAAACTACATACATGACCATTTAGCAGACAGAATACTGGATGTGAAGGCAGGATACAGCAAGGATTCTCAAAGTCTTGATGCACCTATCTCTTTCCAGTTTTATTATATCACTACACTGGAAGACTTGTGCAAAAAGTATTTCATTTTGGTTAAGTATTAAAAATGGGTCGAAATCCCACATTCTTGGAGTATCCAGGATGGAGAAAGGTAGGTTGGATGATAGATAACTTCTTGGTTGACTGAGCAGGCAAGCCTCCCCCAAAGTGGATCACACGCTCATTTATCAAACATTTATTTTGTTTCTAGCACGTACAGTGGACCTTAATTGTTTGATGTCAGCATGAAGCACATGGTATGCCAGAACTCTACTTCAGCTCTTCTCGGTTCAACATTTTGTGGGTGTTTTGGTTCATATCTAGCGGTAACAGAAGGCTGGAAGGGATGCTTAATATGTTGCAGTTAATATTTAAATATATCCTTAGAAGCTGGAAGTG